TCACTTCTATTAAATCTTATAAATCCTTCAGGACAGTGTTGGGGGTTTCTGAGGAACTCTCTAATATGCTGCAATACTAAATAACAATTGCTTTCAATTTTCAGTTATGTCCTTCATTGAGGCATCTGGTATCCTTTCAAAATTAACAAAAATGCAAACCAGCAATAACCCAGATATCAAAAGAAGATTGCCAAATACAGTACATTCATATAAATAAATATCACTTGGTGTTAGAAATCTTAATCCAGTTCTGCATTTATTGACATGGAAAAGTGTTCTTGATTTATTCCTAAGTGAAAAATATTAGTTACAGAACTGTATGTTTCTGTATATTCATATTTGCTATTGTGTAAAAATAGTATGGAGTAATATATACCAAAGAATCATCATTCTAAGTCAAAACTATTGTGTGTGAGCCAAATATCGCCTGCCACCTATATTTGTAAGCAAAATTTTATTGGATCACAGCCATGCCAGTGGCAGCTTTCCTGCTACAAAGCAGAGTTGAGTAGTTACAATAGAGACATAGCCACAACGCTTAATGTGTCTTCTGGAGCTCTATAGAAAAAGTGTATCGACTTATATTCTAGGTGATAAAATCATGAGTAATTTTAAATTTTAAAAAATTTTTGTCTGACTTCATTTTTAAAATTTTCTGCAGTAAGCATAAATTTATTGTATAAAATACGTATCTATTATTAAACCACTGAATTCTGGTTAGAAAATCTTTTTTTTTTTTTTGAGACGGAGTTTCGCTCTTGTTACTCAGGCTGGAGTGCAATGGCGCGATCTCGGCTCACCGCAATCTCCGCCTCCTGGGTTCAGACAATTTTCCTGCCTCAGCCTCCTGAGTAGCTGGGATGACAGGCACACACCACCATGCCCAGCTAATTTTTTGTATTTTTAGTAGAGACGGGGTTTCACCATGTTGACCAGGATGGTCTCGATCTCTTGACCTCGTGATCCACCCGCCTCGGCCTCCCAAAGTGCTGGGATTACAGGTGTGAGCTACCGCGCCTGGCCAGAAAATCTTATTACATTATAAAATTAAACCAGTCAAATAATAAAAATCTGATTATAGCTTTCAAAGTTCTAATTCAAAATATAAGACCTACATTGTAGGTAGTATATTAATTTTTCCTTTTTAAAATTAAGACCTACGTGTGGACATGACTCTTCCATGTGCCAACAGGATTGGTTTCTCGAAACTTCCTTTTAGAACTTCTGGTATGATCTTTTTATCTTATGTCTTAGCATATTAGTCTTCTGAGGCTGTGTTTGCATAATACAATGCTAAGTTTGATGAATAAGGTGGATTAATTTGAGTAACAATTTTGGAGTAAGAAATAAGGGTGGTAGACATTTTGAAGACTGGTTTTCTTTACTTGGCTTATAAACTGGACATAAAAGGAATATCAAAGAAAAGAGTTTTCAAGTGTTTGGAGCTTTGGAAAATAAATGAATTAGTATGGAACTTCCCAAGGACACTACTTTGAAAAAATAAATTCACTTGCATGCATAAATTATGGATATTTGTTACAACAGATAATTCTGATGTAGCTACGCAAATTTTGCTTCAAAATCCTGTAGGATAAAACCTTATAAAACGTGTTTGAGTAATCAGGAAATAATTAGGACAGCCAGAAGACCTGCTAATTAACATTAGGTGAGGGAATACTTGAAAATAGAATTCGTCTTAACCAGAAGTTCCAGATGACATGCATCTTTATTAAAAGAAACAGAAGTAAACAGTACTTTAATTAAACTTTCAAATACTCCAAGAGGCTTTTAAAATACCAGTAAGGAATGAGAAATAACACAATGGATTTTCATGAAAATATGAAGCAATTAAGATGAGAAATAATAAATTTATGCTTTGAATTTATACATTTGCATATTGAGAAAGAATGCCACTATTCAAATATATAAATATATCAGTGACTTTTCAAATGTTAAGATCTGTTTTATTGACTAGATAGTATCTATCCAATAACAGAATTTCCTGATAGGGTAAAATCATTTACACGTTAACAAAGTCAACATTTTTCCTTAATATTCTCAAAGATTAAGACTCTGGCCTAAGAAAAAAACATAATTTATCTAAACATTCATCTCAACATATTTTAAAAGGAAGGTGTCTGCCATTAGTATATATTTTAATAGTTTTAAGATATTCTCTGCCTTCTGGCTCAATTGATCTCTGTAATAATAACTACCATTACATTTGTTGCCAGTTCTATACTCAACTACTAGGTATTCACCAAGAAAACCCCAAGATTTCTAACACCTAAGTATTTCATCGTGTTTCTGCTTCTAACCATTCACTTCCCACTCATTTTCGACCCTATTCTGTGCTTATCTAAATCTGACCTTCAGAACCTTCAAAATGCCACTTCCTTAATGAAGAATGTCTCTCTCTTCTTAAGCAAAAGTAATCATTTTCTGCTCTGTGCTCTCATGCCTCTTACCAGGTTCTGTTGTAAATTAGAGATCTTTGAATGACTGTCTCATTTCCTCCTGCTATGTTTTGATTTTCTTATAGTCCATACTTACTTTATTTACTAGTCTCTTCAGTGTCTAACGCATTGTCAGCAATTAATATATTGTTAATATGCACTTGTTAATTCATAAATTACCTCTTTGAAAAGGAGATGTAAAAAGGAAATCTTTTTCTTAAAGAAATAGCAACATAGAGAAAATACATAACTTTGTATATCTTCTCAATGTAACCTAAATCCGAGGTGCTGATTTTACTACTAGATAGATATTTTCACTTAAGCCAAATAAATATACTTTAAAAACTAAACTATACTTGTAAAACAAAGCAACTGCTATTTCACATCTAGGGTGACTGTTATATACTTTTGTATCATTAGTGATATACTAAGTATTCCTTTTGAGCAGAAATATTACTGTACCATAGCCTAATCATTTAGAGAAAACATCATGCTCATTTATGCCACTTACTAATTTGTGGGACATTATTTAATTTTGAAAAGGCTCAATTTCCTCATCTTTAAAATGGGAATAATTATTTTGAGCTTATCTATTTTACAAGTTTTCTGTGAAAGCTAATAAGACAATGTAAGTGATAGCACTTTGTAAACTGTAAAGTACTATATAAATGTAAGGGTTTATGAGGGACATTAATATAAGGGACATTATTAGTACTATGCTCTCATAGTACTAATATCTATCTAGTAGTACTAATATCTATCTATCTCATAGTACTAATATCTATCTAGTAGTAAAATGAGTGAGTCAATGGCTGAAACAAGTCAGATTCTTTTAGATCAAATTTATAGAAATATCTTATGAAATGCTTGAAGCAAGGAAAGATTTTGGTATATAATAACTTTAATTTTCATCACAGGAAACTGAGTAATTCCAAATATTAAGATTACTGAATTACTTTGGTGCTTTATGGGTTCTATGAGATTGCAAATTCAATCTGAGGGATCCTTACAGATGAGAGGGTTCCAGGCCTAAAATATTCTCCAATCTAATTTAGTGACTATTACCAATTAGGAAGAATGATTTTATGTCCTTCTCTAACACTATAGAGGTCAGTTTAATAAAACTCTAAGACCTTTTCCTTCATATTTCATGTAATCCTGAAGCTTTAGTACACTCACTTAAAGGGAATATGGAATGTCAGCCTAAGGATGAAAAAGAGTCTCAGCATTCATTCATTCTAAGTAACACCCAAATCTGGAATCCTGCTATGGCACCCTGGATGTCACTAGTCTCAACCTGAATGGATCCAACTCAAAAAAAAAAAAAGAAAAAAAAGATGGAAATCAACTGCTTATTCCTAAGTCAGTTAGGCTTTTCTTTATATAATATCTTAGTAAAATATGATCTCCCGTCATTTGCAATGTGTCCTAAAAGCTTAGGTTTACCCATATACAGAACCGTGTACCATACACACAGAAACACATACCACATTGCTGTTGCCTTGTCTCTCCTTCCCTCTTAGTCTTCTAGGCCAATGGTACACAATTCCAAATTAGCTAGGGCAGTGAGCAAATATATTCTCAGGTTTAATTCCCTTTCTCTCTTCATGAGAGTTAATCAGCATATCTATAGACATTTTCTAAGAGTACCAGCTCTACTAGGATTAAATGTGTGATGGATTTTGCTGTTGCTTACAGAGCCCCAGTTTCTTTCCCAAAGGAGTCACTGAACAGAGCCTGTCTTGAATAACAAATGAACTTCAATGAGTTAAATTCTGTTAAAGTCACTCTGACTCTCATAGCCTGCACATGGGTCTTGAGGATTATAAGCATTTAGTAGCTACATGATCAAACTGCCAAAATGTCTTTAAATGACTTGGCTAATTTTCATATTGTGCTTATGGTTAATGTTGTTATTTAAAACTTTTGATTTAGACTGGCAGTAATTAATAAGAACAATGAATGGAATCCTTGTCTCTTACATTTTGAATAAATTGCACTGCCATCCACAGAGCAGCAAAAACTTAACTAATCATAACCAAAATTAACCATGTTTCTTCTATTCCACAATCCAAAGTAAAAATTTTAACTTGGTATAAAAATTAAAGTTTAACTTATCTCTGTCATAATTAAACATACATAGTCAAATAAAACTAACATGGCCTAATGGTTTCTTTCATGTTACCTTCATGGGATGTAATTGTATCAGAGGGCAGGTGGTTTTATTTAATAATAAAGATTTTCTTGTAGCATAATTTACAACTCAGGGATATCAGACAGAAAGTTACCTGCTCCAAGTGGGAGAACAAAGTCATTTTTCATAAGTCATCCTTATCTTAGGATGACCTAATATGGAAACTGATGGCATGGTGTTCTGTTTGATTTAAACATAGAGGTTGATTTAACCTCTATAAACTAAAATCTATGCTGAAATAAAAACTTCACATAAAAATCAAATTTCTATTTTTAGAAATGTGTATGGTGATTTATCATTGTTTATATGATATATGAGGCTTCAATAAGATTTCTCTGTGTTTCTCTTAGAAGATAAAGGGAAGTTAAAAGCCAACAGTTCCAGTCAGCCGTCAAGCTCTGAAAGTGGCTCATTTCTCCTCAAATCTGGCACAACACCCCTGCCACCTGGAGTAGCCATTTCTCCCTCCAAGAGCACAAATGGATCTCCCAGTACTGTTGCTGAATCAGAAGAAGAAAAAGCCAAAAAATTACTTTATTGTTCACTATGCAAAGTGGCTGTGAACTCCCTGTCACAGCTAGAGGCACACAACACAGGTTAGCAGCCATCTTTTGCATTTAAATAATGTTTATAAGAAAACCCAACTTTTCCCATCAGAATACCATATCTTTTGTTGTTCAGACCTTAGGTTTGTTCAACGCTTCTCTACTTTTTTGATTCAAAGGAGTGATTTTAGAAAAGTATGATCATATGACTTTGAAAATAGCAAGGCAAAAGCAGCTTGGAGATCAAACTTGTCCTATTCTTTATTTCCTTAGAAACATCTAATACTGTTCAAAAATCATTTTGATGAAGTGACAAAGATGAAGATAAATATTTATGCACAATGATCACTGCAACACACTTATAAGAGAATAAAAATGGAAACAACCTAAAAGCCCACCAGTAGGGAATTACTGAATAAATTATAGTAACTCAATATGATCTATGTTAAACAGCCATTGAACCATAATGATCAGAAAATATTTACGTGATTTGCTATGTGAAATTTTCAGGATAATTAATTAGTATGATCCCAATTTTGAATTTTTTTTTTAGTGCATTAAGAAAAGAACCTGACAAGAAACACACTAAAATGATAATAGTGGTTACCCCTGAGTAGTGCAAGTATGGGTAATCTTTATTTTCTTATGTTTCTCTATATATTTTTTATTTTATTCTCTTACATCTTTCTATTTTTTACAATAAAATATGTTACATTTATAATCAGCATTAAAATGATCATTTAAAAAAAAGCATTGGGAATTTTAGCCTGCAGATAAATTTCTCAAGGATAAGAAAACAAAGAGCTTTATATAATTCTTGGATAGCTGTTTAATATGTCTCTTTCTGTCTTAGGATCTAAACACAAGACCATGGTTGAAGCTCGTAATGGGGCTGGTCCAATTAAATCCTATCCTAGACCTGGATCAAGATTAAAGGTGCAGAATGGCAGTAAGGGATCAGGACTACAGAACAAGACATTTCATTGCGAAATCTGTGATGTTCATGTTAATTCAGAAATTCAACTCAAACAGGTAACATCCTGAATTAGTAAACATTGTTGTTTGCGGTCACCACTTGACTGTTTCTTCTCATCTATGAAATGGTTCTTACTGTGCTCACAGTTAAATTGACTAACTTTTGTAGAATGCATACAATATGCAACATACAGGTGCTATGTGGCAGAAAAAGTTAGTATGAAATATTTGAGCATCTACTGTTACTATATGTCAGGTTCCAGGCTAGATGTTGGAGAAATGGTAACAGTAGTCACTAGAGCCTACAGTTGAGCAGCAGTTTCTGGTAAGGTGAGATGTTAAGCCTGTCTTCCAAAGGCTCAAAATCGGATTAGAGAGAGAGAGAGACTCATCAGTAACAGTGGTAATACCAGGAAAAATCTGATAAGGGCTATAGAGAACAGAGAGGGACAGAGGCATTACAATTGAGGGAGGAATAAGTCTTAATTTAGAAATCATAACAATTTTACCCACACCATTGTGGAACTATGGACCTGGAGTTGGCAGTGGAGTAAACAGCTACCTAGAAATATATTTTACATGGAATGGGACCCACATTCAATTCAGCTAATGCATCAAACTTTTTTCAGCACATTTCTAGCCGAAGGCATAAAGATCGAGTTGCAGGGAAACCACTGAAGCCAAAATACAGCCCTTACAACAAACTCCAACGGAGCCCAAGTATTCTAGCAGTAAGTTTACCTCACCTGCTTACCTGTTTAGTTGGGCAGCCTTGCTGGGTTGGGCAGCCACTGTGGCTAAGGAGGGCATAGAGTCTAATGGGCATGAAAGGTCTTGAATTTAAATAGCCTCATAGAAGTTTTAGAATGAACTGCTTAGTTCCTGCTATAGAGTAACTTAGAAAACAGAAACTGAACTTCTTTAACAGCTAATACTTTACTCTTCACCAAGTTGTTTTCAAAAGACCCCCCTCTTTAGCATATAAAGATAAGTAAAGCCTCAAGAACAAGGACAAGTGATGCCTAAGGAATCCTGGGATGTTGAACCTGGAAAGAGGGATTTCTTTCATAAAACAAAAATCCATCAATTTAATATCCTCATGCTTTCTGGGTTTTTTTGTTTTTTTTTAAAGTCAATATGAGAAGGTAAAGTGGTGTCTCTATCATGTGCTCTCTCCATTCTAGCAGGCATGTTGGTAAATAGCCTGTTTTACCTGCTCTCAATATGTGCTATTTTCAGTGTCTTTCCAAAAACACCTAAGGACTCCAGCAGTAAGTGTCATATAAATACCAAGATGGATGGATTTCACAGTCTCCCTGGGACTGGGCCCAGTGCAGTGTTTGGTCTGAGGATGAAGCTGAGCTTGTCCAGCTGGAAGCAATCCTGAGATTACCTTCCAGCTTCTCCAAAGCCTCTGTCTGATGCTGCAAGCAGGTGTTACCTGCATTAAGCAAATCCAGCTTGCAGTGCTCCTCCTGAGTGCAGGAGAGAGAAGTTAAGGATTGATTTCTTCACAGGAGGATTCTATCCTGGCATTCCATTAAATAGAGAGTTTTGAGCCCGCTTACAATCATTCTCAACAATAGAAATTTGATTTAGTTGTGATTTTTCAAGGAATACTCATTAAGTAGCCAGTGAGAGAGGCTGACTGTTTTCTTGCTCTTCAGGGTCCCTAGTGTCCTGAACTCATTACCTAACCTCAATGCAGCTTATCTAAGAGAAGGGAAGGATCACACACATTCTCAAAAAACAAAACAAAACTCTCTAGGCCTCATCATAGTTTAAGACAAGCCTGAACTTTGAGTTGAGCTTCATCAACTAAGCAGGAAACTTCCGGGCACTTTTTTTTTTCCTGCCAATCAGCACATAAAAAAGCTTTAGCATTTATTCCGAGGCCTTTCCCTGTGCCCTAGCACACAGAAACAAAGATCACCAAATAAAAGTAAAGAAAGCTATGCTATGAGCCCCTGAAACCAGCATTGTGAAAATAATCATTTCTCAACTTCTGAGAGTAAAGATTTTCAGAATTTAAGACTTCTTAATGTTGGTGTTTTACATATGGAAAGATGTCGATGTCTGTAATAGTTTTATTCAAAAATATTATCTCCGCCCCATTCCTGATTTTCCCCCTCCATTAGGCAAAACTTGCATTCCAGAAAGATATGATGAAGCCTTTGGCCCCAGCCTTCCTGTCCTCACCTCTTGCGGCGGCGGCGGCCGTGTCCTCTGCGCTGTCACTCCCACCTCGGCCTTCTGCCTCGCTCTTCCAGGCTCCAGCCATTCCTCCAGCTCTTCTGAGGCCGGGGCACGGGCCCATCCGTGCCACTCCTGCCTCCATCCTCTTTGCTCCGTACTAATGTCTGCAAAACCCAAGACGTTTGAGGCCAGTAGGAAGTTGAGAAGAAAAGCCACAAGGATTCAGCAATTTAAGCAGTTTGTATTGCAGTACCCCCATTCACCCACAAAATGCAGCCTACCCACCCCAAGCCCCAATTCCAAACAGAAACACATCACTAGATTCAAGAGCGCTTTTAGAGACCACTCCTATAACTTAGGAATCTGAGCAGCATAGGCTTTATCTCCCTATTTCCTCCCTGACCCTACCCCGTTCAATTTATGTATCTCAGACATTTGGTTTCCTGCACATGTATTGGTCAGAAAGAAAAAGAAAGAAAATCATTCTCTATTTTTTCCATGGGTATGATCTGGCTTAAAACAATATGGAATATGTTCCTGACAGACTTGAAAACTAGGATCTTCCTCAGATGTCTGTAAATAACTCTGGTATCCAACTGGGTGTATTCTAGTGTGGAACAAAAATCAGTGAACACAAGTGCTTACTTGTGGATACCACCTTAACAACAGATCACAAAGTTCTCTTTTTGGTGTACTGTTGACACAGATTGTGTACTGTTTCGACCCAAGTACTGTTGTATCCTGTGTAGTACTAGATTTGTATCTCTTGTCTAAATTAAACATTTTTAGTTGCTGTGTAAATGTTAGGAAGCAACGTAGCTTTGAATTTTCTCTTTAAGAGAACAAAAGATAATGTATTTTCTTTGTTTCACATTTTATTTGGAGATATTTAAATGAAATAGAAAGCCATATAACATAGCTATAATTACTACCTGTTTGCTATTTTTGTTTAACTTATTTTGTAGCTTCCTCACTGGTTTGTGTTGCTAAGCAAATGTATACAAACATAAAAAGAGCTTCCCAAATTGCACATTTTTGCATCTCTTGTGCATTCTGCAAGAAGACAATGAATCCATGTATTTCTATATAATTATCTTCTTCATTTTTAACCTGTTTTCATTTGTAATGATGCTACATAATTTTGTGGCTCTTTAATGCAATAATGTACAGAAGATTAAAAAAATTTATAATTGAACAATTTGTTTCTCTGTTCACTGAGTATGTTGCAGGTCATGCTCCCCTGCTCCCCTTTCTAAGCTGATATCAGCAAGACTGGAATGTTTGTGGTATCAGGGGTGAGTTATCATAAAACAACAAAATAGAGTAAACTCTTTTAGAGCATCTGTATCTGCAACCTGTAAATGGTAAAATGTCTGTGTATTTTTTTAAATGTAACTTTTCAATAAAAGTACAAAATATAAAATCTGTTTGTATTTTCAATGTTTTTTGTCTCCTGAGGCACCTCCAATTTGAAATCATCTGATGAAAGATTTTTAATAGGTACAAAGATTGCTTCTGACATAGCATTTTTAGCTCTTGTTTGCAGCATATTTATTTGTCATGTTTATTCATTACTGTTCACAGCATCTCCATGAGGTGAAATTTTACTGCTGTTTTCTCTCTGAATCTCTAAGATGTTGGGCCAAAGGTGTCGAGTAGCAGCCTGCAAAAAACTTTGGACTCAGATTTTTTTAACTTACTGTGGGTCCTCTAAACCTCTAGTTCAACTTTTATTGGTGTCCATGGCATTTATGATCTCTTTTAAGAGAATTTTATTCCATTTCTCCTCCTTTGCCTTCTTCAATCAGCATATCCTTTTTTTTCTTCCACCTCATTCTGTTGCTTTTAAGTATAAAGATCAATGCATCACTGTTTATTCTGGTGAATTATTGCTGCTTACAAGACTGCTCTAAAACTTAGTAGCTTAAAATAATAACTATTTGATAACTAGTTATATCAGAATTTCATGGGTGAAGAACTCCATCAGGATTTGGCTGGGCTGTTCTTCTCTACCCGGTGACATCAACAGAGTGCCATTGGTAGCATTCAGCTCTTAGGTGGGCTGGGCTGGAGGGCCCAGGATAACTTCCCTCATATGTCTCGCCCAGTCAAAAATGGCTGGAAGGTTGAGCCTTACTGGAACCATCTACCAAGGGCCTCCATGTGGCCTCCCTAGCATCCTCCTTGTTGTCTCAGGTAGTTACATAGTAGCAGACAGAACATTTTAAGAGCCCTGGGTGAAAATCAAAGCCTTCTTAAGAAATAGTGTTGAAACTCCCAGCACATCTTATGCTACATTCCATTGATCATGCAAGTCACTAAGACTAACCCAGATTCAAGGGGAAGAAAATTAGACATCACTTCTCAATATGAAGAAGAGAAAGAATTTGCTACCATCTTTAATTTACCACACTGTTATAGAAATTGGAGGGGAGTGGCTACAAAACCATTACCGATCCTGTCTCTCCCTACTGACATGTTAAGCGTGTCAGTTTCTTAAAATGAGAATTAGGGTGGGACTGAGATTCTCATTTCTAAAAATTTAAGGCCAGTAGGTGGCAGTGTAGCTGTGACGCATGGCAACAGACTTCCTCTGAGTTTATCCAACTGAAAATTGTTGAATATTTTAGTCTTGTAATCAAGTTTCTTTCAGATTCTAGTAAGATTCCAGTTTGGTACTCAGAATTTGGCATTTTAAACAAATAAGACTCATTTGAAGTCTAACAATACTAGTTACACTTAACCTTGGTTGTACCTTCGGACATGATTTATAGACCGCATGTCCTGATGGATTTGTGTTTCCATTGAACACTTTGGGGTACTTTTTATTTTTATTTTTAGAGACTTCAATGGCCATGATATTTGGTTTATCTTTCATTATCCTAAATTTCATTAAAGCTTTCTACAATCCTCAAAAATTTAACATGTCAGTATTTAAACAGACCCAGGAATTTACTGATTAGATTTGTAGAGTTAAGTTTTGTTAAAAATTACCTCAGGGAAGAAGTACAAAAGAATACCAGTTAATTAAAATGAATGTTTTCAAAAGAAGCCAAGAGTGGTTTTAAACAATTATTCATAAAATAACTATGAAACACATATATTTCATGATTCACTCTGATTCTGAGGTGCTAGTATTGGTCAACCCTGGAAAGGATACTTGTATTTGAACTAACACCTCTTCCTATGCGATTTCTAATGAGAAAAGAGTGCCACCCTACTTCACTTATTGTGAAAGTTATAAAACATACTGCTTCCTCTGACACAGTCTCTCTCTGGTCTCTGTAGAGTCAGAAAACTGGTCTCAGGTACGGTTGCCAGATAAAATATAAAATACCCAGTCAAATTTGAATTTCAGATAAACCATAATTGTCTGGCATAAGATTTTAAATAATTTTAGTATGATATTGCACATAGCAGAAATATGTTTCATAAATACACATGCAATATTTGGGACCTATTTATACTAGATTATTTGTTGTTTATCTGAAACTCAAATTTAAATGGACATCCTATATTTTTATTTGCTAAATGTGGCAACCCTTTTCTCATGAGCATTTCTGTGATGCTTCAGGAGAAAAACAACCTCTTGGGTATTAAAAACAAAATAATGAGCTTTTAAAAGGCACATCATAATATATACTCACAAATAGGCAGAAGAAGGAATTTGCATGACGTAACTATTAATGATATATTGACTTTGCGTAAGACCAGCAAGGGGGAAAATGTAACTGTAGATGCCTCTTACTTAAAGCTATAGTGATACCTGTTTATTGAAATTATTGTAAAAGGGTAAAACAAAATTTTAATTTGTCTCATACACCAACCACAGAACCCTTGATTTTCTTCTTTGCTCTAAAAGAATTCTGGCTTTTCAGAGCAGAAATAGATATGGTCATGTCAAATTTTTCTCTCGGTGTATAAAAAAAAAAACTGTACTACATTTAATGTCATTGGGAAAGAGAAGGAAGAAAATTCCCACTGGAAAAATGAACAAACAAAGGACAACAGGTAGAAATCCTGTTCTGCAAAGACTCTCCAAGGGAGCCTAAAGAGACTGACCAAAGAGATTGAATTTGGGGATCTTTTGTAAAATGGGCACCCACTACCTGGGGTGCCATCAGGAGAAGAAACATGGGGAGGAGAGAGATGGCCAGGAGCTGTTTGACAGATAAAGATTAAGTTAGCATGAAGAAATAGACACCCTAGATAACCACAGGCATCTTCAGGTGCAGGATGAAGGATTTCACTCCACCTCTGCAGGTCTGTGTGGATTCTGGCCTTTCTGTACAGTGCTTCTTCCATCAGATCCTTGTTTTGTTCCTATGATGGCCTAAATGTCAGAGATGACACATCTCTTTGGAAAAAAAAGTTTCTGGTACCTCGGTGGGTTGAGGAGAAATTATGGAGAGAAAGAGCAAATTCCACAGGGGATGCTGTTTGTCTCTTTCCCTTCTCCAAGTAATTAGCTCCATAGGGGAATTCATCAAGGACATGTCCTTGCAGGTACTCAGCAGCTATGGAGTGTGACTTGGTAATTGCCTTTATGTCTTAGGCTAAAATTTCTAAAGCTGGATTGACTCATGTATTCTCCACTCCTAGATAAGTGCTCAAAATGCATAAATGCTCTGGTCATCAGATAGAATTCCTTCTCTAGGTGCACTGAAAATATCTTCCTGTCATATTTTTCATTTTAAGAAGTCACTTATCTACAGATAATTGGAAAAAGTTGCCACTAAGTATCTGCTGTCTATTTTTATCATAGTGAAAAAGTAAAATTAGGATATAGCAGAACTAAACAAGAAAAATACATAATTTGCACTCAAAGACCTGAATCCAAATTCTGATCATATCATATAGACATTCGTTATGTGATCTTATGTCAGAAAAATATTGTATGTAATATCCCCAAAGCCTTGGTTTTTCAAATACGTAAAACAGATATAATAGTATTCAACTGTTAGGGTGATTCTGAGAAGCAGATATAGTTAAACATGTGAGAATGTTTTGGTACATTATCACATGCTATATAAATTTGCATAGTAGATGGATAAATCAAATCAACAATTATTCTCATTTTAAATTTCTAAATTGTAAGATTCTCTCAATTTAGCCAGCCTTTTGCTACCTTGTATTTATATTTTATTATAGATTCAGTAGGTTTGTTACATAGGTATACTATACATAGTTATATAACATGATGCTGGGGTTTGAGCTTCTAATGCACATAGGACCCAATAGGCAGTTTTTCAGCTTGCCCTCCTCCCTTCTTCCCTGAGTCCCCAGTGCCTGCTGTTTCCATCTTCATGTCCATGTGTACTCATTGTTTAGTTCCCAAGTTAAAATATGCAGAATTTGATTTTCTGTTTCTGTGTTATTTCACTTAGGATAATGCCCTCCAGCTGTACTGATGGAGCTGCAAAGAACATGATTTCATTTTTTTATGTCAAATTACCCAATTTTAAGTCTTTAGTGGTGACCTAGACTCAGAAAAAATGTATCTGTAGAGAAGAAATAGCAAATTCATTAATTGCATATTTATGCTCCTAGTCTCAAAGGTATAATCCAAATTGAAGTAATAATAAGGTAACAGAGCCAAGGAAATGCAAAATGTTTGCTTATCACAAGAATGTCTGAATTTTATATCTTATTTCCACATTAGAAAAACAGAATCTTAAGTTTTAAAAAATAAAAAGCTTCCTTACATTGTAAAAAAGAAATCACAACTCTTGTTATGCAAAATAAAAATCTCTGATGTAAAAAAACAAAATACTATAAAGAATATTTAAATATACAAAACAAATGAGAAAATATTTACAATCCTTATGACATTTAAAGGTTCATATTCTTATTATACAGAGAATGTGTAAAATGGGGAAGGAGAATGCTTTCAAAAAAGAAATTAGAAAACTAGACAAAAAGGCAAACCAAAAGAGATAAAATATACACAAATGCGTAATAGAAAGAGATATGTCTCCTTACTGAGGTAATGTGAATGACATCAACATATTTTTGATCTAGCATATTAACAAATAAATTTTCCAAATTTTTAAAACCTAGTATTAAAGAGGGTAGGGAAATAGATGTATCCATACACCGTTAGTAGTAATGAAAATTGCTTCAACTTATCTGGATGGCTGGTCATATGTATCAATCATCATGTTAGTTTTCCATAACTTTTGGCCCAGAAATTTCAGGTCCAAGATTTTATTCTAAGACAATAACCATGTAAATTTAAAAAGATTTATGCACAAGTATGTTTTGAATCAGAAAATAAAAAGTTTATGGATACAACAGGAGGGGAAAAAAACTAGAGAACCAACATGCCATGGGAAACAAGGCCATTAAACTTGACAGCATACTTCTCAATTATTGACGTGAAAAGATACCAATGATATGTGTCTAAGGGGAGAAAA